TCATCTCCAACTACTGGGGTTGTTGAGCTCCCCGCTCTCCACGCCAGACTTACCTGTGGAAGCTCCTCCCCAGGCTGTCTGGTGGCCATGTACATATATGCATGATGCCCCCTGCTTGACTGTTCTGTTCCCACTCCCCCAGCCCCTTGCAGGCTGGAACTCTTCCTGCCTGCAGAGAGCTCTTTGCAAAAGTGCAAAATCTGTGTATTTCTACATTAAAATGAGAAATGTAGAAACACATAGATGTTTTTCTCAGTTAAAAGGGAAAATCCATGGGTTTTTCTGCTTTTCCATGGGAAACAGAAAACCTGGATCCCTGGTAATAAGCAGGAACACAATATTGTCCAGAATTACTAAGAAAGGAAGTAGTGCGGAGGCTCAGAGGAGGAAAAATTAATAATCCCATTTTATCTGTGTGGGGTTCAAGGTGATGAGAAGATGTCCTTACAAACATGTAAGAAAGACTAGCCAAGATTTTAATTTGGAGAAGAAGAAAAGTCTGAAGTAAGGAAATACATTTGTGTGAAGACAGGGAATATAATTGACTTTGTACTTACCCAAGAGTTTAAAAGGAATAATAATGAGTCTTGTGAGACCCCTGCAGAAAGTTGGAGGAGAGATAAGGAGAATCCCCTGAAAGACATGCTGAAGAAACAATTAGAGAGGTGGAAGGAGAACCAGGAGAAGACAAGTCCACGAATCCAAGCGAGGACAAAATTTCAAGAGCATGAGGAGGGAATACTGGTTTTGAGATTTGGCTAGGATGTAGTCATTATAGATTTTGCTGAGTACAATTTCAATTGAAACTCTTGATTTTTTTCATACCAAGGCAACAATCTGTAAGGCCTATTTCTAGGCTGATAGGTCAGTCAACAACTTAAGAAAATATCTCTATATCAGTTTACTGGCATTGGTAATAAAGATTTTTCTAAAATGTGCCAAGACAATATCCATTAACTCTTAGCAATATTACTCTTTAACTCCATCTCAGACTTTTTGACCCTGGGAATAAGGCCTAGCCTCAGAGCAAACTCTCATGCATATCTGCCTAGGCCTGTCATTTTGATTTACCTCTCTTCTATGTTTTGTTTTAGGAACTCATGCTGAAGCTAAATCTAAGATTCAATAGAAGTTTACAGCACTGTGAAAAGTGTAATGCACTTACATTATTTCTACTGCTCCACCATCCCTTTCTCCCTGGAGCCCCTTTATCCACAAAAAGTGGTTTCTGCCTGGGCTCTTGTATTTTGAAGCCTTAGGTCATAGTTTACACCTCCTTTCTTTATGCATGTCTCCTCTACCGTGAATTCCAGTTCTTCTGTTTTTAAATTTAAACCCTGTGCACTCCCATTTCTGAAGATCAAAGCACTATATAGCAATCCATTTCTCTTTTTCTCTTGCTTGTAGTGTTCCTGTCAGTTCAGTTTAGTGTAACCTTAAAGATGAGTTTGATTTCAGTTTATGCTTCATTTCACATTACCTGTCACTAATAACAAATGTGTCCACAGTGATCGAGGACTAAATGCTTTTATGTGCTATTTCCTTCCCCATTCTTCCTAGAGTCTGTTTATTTTTCTAACTTTGTCTTCTTGCAAATGCTCCAGGTGAATGAAAGTAATCTGAAACAGTGAGTAATAATATAGGCACTAATCAAATGTTTTGATTTGTATATAACATGTTGTATTTACCTGAGATGACTCTAAATTTAAGATGACACTCCAATATTTAGTTTTTAGACAAACAAATTTATAAATCTATTGTAATTAATTATGTCTATAATCTAATTTTTGGAGGATCATCTTAAATTTGTTCCTCCCACTGCTGCAGCAGGGCAAGCTGAGGTGGGTAGAGGGAAGGTGGTGGTGGGGCAGGGAGCAGGGGAGCCAAGTAGCCTGACCCCACTCCCCGCATCGTTACATATCTTTCCCTTGCAGCTCCAGTTCCTGCTGGGGCCTCACTCTGACTGGAGCAGAAAGTACAGAGTATATGCTACCTCAGGTCTCAGCCTGACCATGAAGAAGCGACTGTGGTAGCGGGAGCTTCAGCCCTGGCCCTGGAATTGGGCCTAGAGCTGCCACCACCACTGCATGGCCAAGCAGGGGCTGGAGGCAACACATGATCCATGCCCTCTGCCTCTGGCCAGTGGGGTCCAGCAGGAGCCGGAGCTGCAAACAGAAGGTAAGCAGTGGCAGGGAGCAAAGGTAGGGGGGAGCTGAGGCTGCAGGGGGAAGGTGGCCAATGAGGGCAGCAGCTGTTACTCCAACTCTGACTCTGGACTTGGGTTTGGCATAGGAGCTGCAACTTCTGCCACCCCTGGCCACTTGACTCAGATCTAAGACAAGGGGCTTTTCCCTCCAAGTTGAATAGGCAAAAATACCTAATCTTAGATTGAGTAAATATGGTATATATCTAAGCATCACGATTTGATAGCAATCAGTCACAGACTAAACTTGCTTACAAACAGTATCAGCTTTATAATGTCTCTGGTGTTTTCAGCTATACATTTTTACATTGATTTCTTTCAGTTTTCTTTCTTGTTTTAAAGTTTAGTGATGCTTCAAATCCTTTGTCATGCTCAAGAATGAAAAAGTCTCAAATGCTATCTTAACCATCAGACAAATACAATACCTATAGTGACCATCCTGGTGCTAGCTCTCCAGAACACTAGAAAGGGACTTGGACACAAAACATTACTTCAGACAAGAACTACTGTCTTAATTCTCCATCCTAATAATTATTCTTTGAAAATTTTTATTACAGATCAGTTCATGAAAATCAGTCCATTATAACTGATTGTTAGGTTACATTTGATTTTTAAAAATTATTTAATGATTTCTTCTGGCATTGTATCATTGTTTTCCATCCTTTTCTTCTCTCACTCAGTTGATAATTTATTTGTTTTTTATATTTTGAAGATGGGTTCCCCCCACCCTTTATTTTCCTTTTTAATAAATTCCAGTATCTTGCTATCTCTGGTCACATACAGACATTCAGTCTCAACTGGAAGAGCTGCTGCTCTCCCGGTAGAACCAATGAGTGTACACACATTCAGGATTTTTCTCTCAGAGCAAAAATGGCTGATCCAAGAGGAAAATAACTCAGGAACAACTAGGCTCCTGGAAGAGTTTGTTTCAGGAGAATGAACTTCTGTACACTTACCTTCTGAGAGGAGCCACAGCACAGTCCTCCAACTTCCCAGCAAGCTTTGGCTACCAGGGAGACAGACACTGTGTTACTCATAGAATCATAGAATCAATGAGTTGGAAGGGACCTAGACAGATCATCGAGTCCGACCCCCTGCCATGGGCAGCAAGGAGCACTGGGGGTAGCAGGGATCATAAGACCCCAGCCAGATGCCTATCCAGTCTCCTCTTGAAGATTTCCAGGGAAGGTGAGAACACCACCTCTCTGGGAAGCCTATTCCAGGCTCTGGCCACCATTACAGTGAAGTAGTTCTTCCTAATATCTAACCTAAACCTATCCTCCCTCAGCTCATGGCCATTGTTCCTGGTGACTCCAAGGGGGGCCCTGGTGAACAGACTTTCCCCGAGTCCCTGCTGCTGGCCCCTGATAAGGTTGTAGGCAGCCACAAGATCCCCCCTCAGTCTCCTCTTGCGGAGACTGAAGAGATTCAGGTCCCTTAGCCTCTCCTCATAGGGCTGGCCACAGAGGCCCTCAACCATATGGGTGGCCTCCTCTGGACCCTCTCCAGGTTCTCCACGTCCTTCTTGAAGTGCGGCACCCAGAACTGGACACAGTACTCCAGCTGCGGCCTGACCAGCGTCGCATAGAGGGGGAGCAAGACCTCTCTGGATCTGTTAGTGATGCCTCTGTTGATGCATGACAGGGTGTGGTTGGCTCTGCCTATTGTTTCGTCGCATTGGCGATTCGTATTCATCCTGGAGTCAATCATAACTCCAAGATCCCTCTCTGCCTCGGTGCTGCCGAGAGGGTCGGCCCCTAACCTATAACCATTATGCTGTTTCCCTCTCCCCAGGTGCAGCACTCTGCACTTGTCCTTGTTGAACCGCATCCTGTTCAGATCTGCCCACTTCTCTAACCTATCCAGGTCTGCCTGGATGTGGTCCCTGCCTGCCGGTGTATTCACTTTACCCCACAGCTTGGTGTCATCAGCGAACTTGAACAGGGTGCTCTCCACACCCTCGTCCAGGTTGCTAATGAAGATGTTGAACAGCACTGGCCCAAGAACCGAGCCCTGGGGGACTCCGCTTCCCACACCCTCCCAGGTCGACATCTACCCGTCCACCACCACCCTCCGGGTTCGCCCCTGAAGCCAATTTGCCACCCATGTGACTGTGCATTTGTCGATGCCGCAGTCCCTCAGCTTGCCCACTAGAATTGGGTGGGACACTGTGTCAAAGGCCTTCTGGCAGTCCAAGAAGATGACATTGACTTCCTCCTTCCCCTCTAAGCTCTTTGTTATTTGGTCATAGAAAGAGACCAGGTTAGTCAGGCAGGATCAGCCTTGCACGAACCCATGCTGGTTACCCCTCAACATCACTTCCCCTGCAGGACTCTAACAAATGTGGCCCTTAATAATTTTTTCAAAGACCTTCCCCAGGATAGAAGTGAGGCTGACTGGCCTCTAGTTGCCAGGCTCTTCCTTTTTCCCCTTCTTGAAAATAGGGACCACATTGGTCGTTTTCCAGTCCTCAGGGACTTGGCCTGAGCACCAGGAGTCCTTGAACTGCCGTGCCAATGGCTCCGCAATGACACCAGCCAATTCCTTCAGCACCCACGGATGAAGGTCATCTGGGCCCACTGACTTGGACACATCTAAGCCCTCCAGGTAAACCTTAACTAGGTCTGAACTAACAGTCAGGGGACTCGCATCCTTCCTGGGCCTCTCTACGCTATCACCCGAGAGCACCCCATTGTCAGCAGACAGGAACATGGAGGCAAAGAACTTGTTGAAGAGTTCTGCCTTCTCTCATGCATCCATCACCAACTGCCCTGCCCTACCTCGTAGGGGTCCAATGTTACCCCAAGACTTCTTCTTGCTACCTAATGCTGGACCCTAGTACTGTAGCTAAGCAGGGAGCCACTTCACAATCACCGTATTTTGCTGCAGGGATACACAGCCTGTGAGGTAGTCTGGGCCAGCCAGTCATGACTGCCATGCTCACTACTGTCATCTCTCAGGCAGGTCTGGGAGCCTGAAGAACATGCTGAGATGTGTGCACAGGAACCCTCTGGTTGCACAACAGCTCAGCATTTGAATGTCTGTTCAGGGGTCTCCAAGAAAGTTTTTCTACCAGGAAAAAAACCCCAGGAAAATTCTCCCAGATCATTTGAACATGTGTATGTGGCACTGTTGTTACACATTTATGCACTTACAACCAAAATTGTAAGTGTATTCAGTGATCAACAGAATTTGAAGCTTGCTGGACTGCTACTTTGTACTGATCACCAGATATTCATCTTAATACATTTTCTGTATCCAATATAATGCTGTATGCTGAGTACAATCCCTAATTTCCCTCTTCTTTCTTAGACCTTAGTTATGGTAAGAGCAGCAGTGGCTTTCTCTTTACACGTAAGTTGTCTATAGTATGTGTTTGGCAGAGATCCCCTTGTTAAGTCATAAATGAATCATAAATAGGCAGTGTAGTAGAAAACTCCTCATTTTGGAATTTTCTCACTAGAAATGATCTAATGTGTTTTAACTGATGGTAGAGGAAGTGACTGATGATGTTTTTAGATGAACATGGATTGCAGAGCCTTCTCCAGTGAGTACCTCTAAGCTTGAGCATGTAATGATTATATTACACGTGCTTCCACACAGGGGAATGTATTACACAATTATATTACACATGCTTCTACACACAGGGGAATGTATTCACAATGATTTTAGTGTAAAGATTAAAGTGTATTTATTTAAAGAATATGATTTTTAAAATTAATTTCTTGGCACATACTTTGCTCTGAAAAATATAATAGTCTCCTATGTCTTCCACATCAACAACCAATCATATAGTATCTTTCTGAGATTCTTAGGTTAAGGAAATCCATCAAATTAAATGGGAACAAATGTAAAACTATATGAGAGAATTTAGTGGCTTTCTTCAGTAATATGTCTCATGAAAACTGCTTCACAATGACAATTCCCCCCAAAGAAGGCAGCCTGAAAGACATTTAAAAGTGTGTTTTAAAAATATATATTAACTTTTGAACTTTATATGCTACACTGTCAGTTACTGTGTCTGAGCTAAATAAGGGCAATGAAGATAATGCATTATACAGTGCTATTTGTACGGTAGCATAGTGGTGTGGCTGTGCACCTGAGGCATATGGAAGATGCTACTGTGACTCCAAGGAACCAAAACCCTTTAGTTTGGCAACAGGTTTTTTTTTTGCCCTCCGCCCCCCACCTCCAAGTCAGCACTCCAGTCACCCTGCCCTAGTTATGCTACTGATTTGATAGTAGGATGCTCAAAATTACAGAGTTTCTGAATAAACATCACTGATCGTTTTGACCTCAAAATCTTCCTCCAGGATATGAAGATGTCTCTCAAATACTACTTTGCCAAGGCTATTTAAGGAAACTTCTGTCACTTTCTTAACCACATCTTAATTAGTGATACAGCTCTTGGAAAGAAAGTATTTTTCCAGTTTTTAATTCCATTTGCCACCTTTGAATAGAAAGCATATATTAAGAATTATTGCCTGGAACTGAATAGGGACAGCACAGTACAAATTAGGTTCACAACCACTTTACTTTGAGTGGACATTTATGTGGCAATAAAGAGTCTAAAACTTCTTAGTTTGGCAGTTTGACTATGGCATTTTCACTGGTATACTGCCTGATATTGTCTAGCATAGAAGTCATTTTGATTTTTTTTAATATTGGTAGTCATGTCTTTTTAGTCTTAATATTTTGATCATTTTACTTTATGTAAAAGCTTCACAATGAAATATATTATACTAATAAATTATAAAGATAATCAAAACACATGCCTTTCCTGTGTAACTTACACAAAAACGCTAGTATTCATCATGAGTCAGTCCCTCAATCAGAATGTTCTGGGTGGTATGCAAATGCAAAAAGAAGCAAAGATTGAAAGGAAA